GGGCAGCTTAGTTACCTACCACACCACACAGTGGTGCTTAGAAAGCCCTGCATACTGGTAAATACCTAATCAATAGCATGTATTTTACATGTTGTGAGACCAAATGATTTGAGCGTCGCCCCCTTTGGATACTGTAGGTCCCACAAAATATACATCACCCATACAAAAAGTGAAAGTCCTTCCAAATAGCTCAGGGCCACTACATTGATTCCTGTTTCTGTACTTTCCAGTTCCACCCTTCATCACGCAAAGAAGATTTACACACTGTTTCAAAAGTGAGGTTTTTCACAGCATGCTCAGACAGTGGTAAACCTGCCTTTTTTAAGTTAATTTATAGCAAAATAGTAAAACAGAGCAGAACAGAGAGAGATACAAGGGAAAATTTGTGCCAGCTGAAGTCTGTTCACCGATTAACTCCTGTGGAAAGGTCCTGAGACATACAACGGGCTGCTGATTAAACGGAGTGAGTCTGCTGCTCACTCACTGCCCAGAGTCCCCGCAATGTACGACACTCCCTTTTGTTCCCTGGCACCCCTCCAAGTTTAATGGGTGCCATGTACCACGGCACTGATCAGTTTATCTATACATAAATATATTCCAGTAAAAAATGTTAGAATTCTGCATGCAGGCTTCAGCACATTTTGGGACCTAAAATATTTCTGTCATCTCCAAATAAGTACATTACCAGAACCCTACAATAAACAGTCTCTTTGGCTAGACACTTGTCCTAGTCTACTCCCCATCTGCTGTTTCACCAGTAGAAAAGGCACTTCACATTGCCGAGGAGAGGTAACAGATTAAAATCTCCTTCATACTTTTTGTGTAGCTGCTTTAGACACTGTCTCTGGCTGCAGTGTGGAAATTCAGGCAATGAGCTCCAGCATGACAAGGTGCAGTTATTATTGCATGCAACATAAAATGGCTTTTGGGCATCTCTCTTTTGCCCCAGCTTCCAGCATAGAGAAATGTGACTGGAGTTTTGGCACGCTTGGGCGTCTATTGCTTGAAACATCTGAATTTCAGCAAGTTGTAAGACTAAAGATATACTAATACAAATCCTCCTTCTTTAATCACACTCTTGTGTATGAACTGAAAATCTGAAAATCCATCAGAACCTTTTAATCTACAGAGAAGCCGGGATGAAACCGTCTTGGAGGACATTTGGCGATGCTTAGCTTGTTTTGTTTGTTGAAACTCTGCTGTTCATACACACCTGGTCTCGATCTGGCCCCCACTGCATCTATTGATAAGGTTGGCATTGGGATCAATAGTAGCAGAAGGACAGCCAAAATGGCGATGTTAATTGCCAAATCTGTAACTTATGTCACCTGTTAGGAAGTCCTATGACACATACCAGCCCTGCTAAAGGAAAATCAGGTGTATCATACCATCATCTGACATAACGCAGCACAGCCACAGATAGCACAGTGTCAACGTTGAGCAGCACCAGTCACTCAGAGGAAACACCAAATGGGACAGGCAGACGAACGGGATGGATAACCAGGGTTATGCCTGTATTTCTGCCCCTACCACAGACATGTCACCTTTATCAAATCTCCAGAGATAGCTGTTGCACTTCAGTGGGATATAAATTATAACTCCTCTCACTCTAACAGAATTTTCTGTCTCTGTGATGTCCCTCTCAAAGTTACAAAACTTCGTGGTGCAATGTTGTGTTTCTCCCACTTAAGACCTGGGCTTTCATATACAGCAGGAGGACACTTGGTGGCACTCATTCAACATCATTTTTACTTCCCATACGGCAGATTCTGTGGGTTAACGTAAACATGTGAAAAATCCCCCTTAATAAGATTATCCCATGAACTCTGTCACTAAGACCAACTCCTGCAGTCACTACTCAGTTTTAACTTAATCGTTAATGAAGTAAAAAATAATTCGCTTTGTGTAAAAGAAAACTAAAGATCAGTTTATGATAGTAAACTGATATATAGTTTATGATAGTAAACTGATCACTAAATTTGAGCCGAAGTGTTTTTGCCTACCAATTATTCTGCAAAATCTTCACTTTTCTGCTTGGGTGGGTACCTAAAATTCACTCCCTGTGTAATGTGCAAATTCTTTGTCCCTGCACACTACTGTTCACCGCAACTTGCATACAACTCTTTGAAAACAAACAAAAAAAGAAAGAAACCCTGAGCGAACCATCTGGTAACCAGGATAGCTACTGAGAAAGAGACAACTGCAAAGGAGGTAGAGAGTTGCACTTGGCTGTACACAGCAGTCCCTCTAATTTATACTTCTGGGTGACTGCCATCTGTAACCCAATATTCATACTGTGTTTTGAGAAAGACACATGGGAAGCAGCAGCACTCTAACCCATTTAGACAAGTAAATACTTATAACCCCTCTATAAAATCCTTCTTTTCCAGGAATTACCCCAGTATCTCATGGACAGTACCCTAAAGTCCTGCCAAGGACCACGGCCTTATTGCTGACACCTGGCAGTTATTCCTATCAAAGCCGCTGAAAGATCTGACAGTCAGTAGGGGATTTGTTTACTACCCTTAACAGCAGGACACTGTTCCATTAGCTAAGGATAATCCAACACCGTTAGATAGCCCAAAGCTTGACTGAAGGTGCCTCCTTTGTGGGAGGAGGAAGATCGAGTCCAGATGTCCCTGCAACTCTCCACTTACCACACTCAAAATAAAACTTCCGCGAAACACAGGTTACAAATAGGTCAGTAGCCACTAGCAGCCAAGACGTCCTCAGTGGGAAATGTCTTAAAGCAATGGAGCACAGGCAAGTGCACAAGACAGCCTGTCCGCTCAAAACACAGAAGCACCTGCCTTCCCCTAGAACAGAAACAGGGCCCATCCCCACCATCCTTCAACAACACAACTGCCAAAAGAGTGACCCACAGCCGTTACGACAGGGTCACAGTGCCCACAGAGCTTGATTACTCCATGGATGCCCATTGGCCCCGAACCTACAAAATCCGTGCTGTCAGGAAACTCCTTTCCCAGCAGTTTTGCTTTTGCTCCAAGTTTTACCAGCTGCACCAGGGAAGATTTAACTTCTTTGGACAAAGTGCCCATTTCATTATCTGCATGAACTTGCGTGCACTTTGTTTGTATACTCAGTGGTGTTTATATACTTGAGAAAATGCATTGCTGACAAGTTCTGTACAGTTTTCCAATAATCCAATAATGTTTATTAAAACCCAGCATGCACTTTTCAAACCAAGCAAAGATTATTGTACTCTAAAAGGTGTGCACCCAAGCCAAACTTTTAATTTCAGAACATTTTACTTCTGGCCTGTTTAGGAAGAGTTTTGTATTTAAAAATGAGACAGTATTATCTTCTCCCTTTCCAAACTTTTATGCAACTAAAGGGCTTTTCCTCTAACATTCTTCTAAAAAGAGCAAAAAAAGACCCCACTGTTTTAGCAGAAACACAGGAAGGCAAAGTGCGGTCCAAAAGCGAGTTACAATTAATCAGCCGAAAATCATACTGAGCACTATTTCACCATGCTAAGCACACGGCCTGCTACAAAGCACTTACATGTGCTCTTCACACCGGGCCAGTGTTCGGCATGTGCCGGACGCAGTTTGTCACAACAAGCGCACGGCCTTTCCCAGACAAAGTGCCGGAGCGTGAGTCACGAAGGCCACAGCCTTTCCAAATCACTTTGATGGCCTGTCCCCTTGCAGGAAGGTGGGGCTGCATTGTACAGAAATGCCATCAGCACCATTTCTGTGCATGCAGGGAATTTCACTTACGTCATATTTTAATATGGATATTATTTGCTTTGTTAAAGATTAATTACTGGGAGGTACTGGCCGGGTCGGACACCGATCCCGAGGAAGTTTAGGGCAATGGCCAAATAAATAGGAAGGGTGCTTCGGGCGGAGGCAGCTGGTACCGGGCCGTGAACTCTCCGATAGGTGGAGCTGCGGGGACAGGCTGGTTACGGCCCG